GATCTTTCTTTAAAAAAAATGAATATTAATTTTCAGAATTTTTTTAATAGGTTGAAGCTAGACTTATAAATCATAAGTGTATATTCCTCGGAACCGACATTGAATAAACTATTTCCTTTTAAAAAACGTTGTCTACACGAGATAAAATAGATCATTTTCACACTCGATGTGACCCGGCTCAATCCATTTCTACTCATTTTGCAGTGCCCCTCCTTAACAAAAGCTCTGGATCCGCCACTGTCTAGTAGTAATATTCTGGTCATTCTTTCTATATACTAGTAGAAATTTTTGATGAGGTAAGGTAGGGTTGTGTGAATAATGCGAATTTCAGAGTGTGGCAATTATTAAAGAACATATGAAGTATATACTAACTATTAATATATATATTTTGAGTCTCGTTTGAGTCAGGCCGGCCTGACAGGAAGGCCCGTGCGGTCTTCCCCTTTTGGGTGCCTTCCCGGTGGAATTTTTTTATAAAGTTTTTTGAGCATGTTCCTCATCAAGTCTAGTTTATCTATACCACATTGCAGCTCAAAATTTGAAAGGGAAGGCAGTCAAATAAATTCTTGAAACATACTGCACTTTATATATGCGCAGAATGCCCAGTATGTTTCAAGAATCTGTTTGACTGCCTTCCCGGTCGAATTTTGAGCCGAAATTTGGTATGGATAAACTAGACTTGATGAGGAACATGTTAAAAAAATTTCATCAAAAAATTCCACCGGGAAGGCCCCCAAACAGGGAAGGCCGCACGGGGCCGTTCGGTCAGATGAATGTTAGAAAGGCATCGGCATCCAGAAAAGTAATACGAAAAGTAATTTTGTGAATACAAATCCACAATTGTACAACAGAGAAGCATCGGCATTCAAACAACTATATATGTACAATCAGAAGCTTGCATGCCTGCTCGCCCAATAGGTAAATGAATACGTGAGAATGACATAAAAATATGGAGAAAACTATACCTGGAGAACATTTGAAAGATGAAGAAGGTGAGTGTAGTTGGAAGATGGAAGAGAACACCCAGGGAGGTGTGTCGATCAATTTCCCGGCCGAGAGAATAGTGTGCGCAGGGTTTTTAAAAAATGGATTTGGAAATCCAATGGGTGTTAGGGAGATTGTTTGTGGGCTGGGATATTCAATATTTTGGTCTAAAAGTCCAACAAAATCTTTTAAAGTCCATTAAGTATTAACACATAAATCCATGGAATGTTTGAGGATACCTGATTTTAATAGATTCTTTAGAAATCCATATTGAGGATACCCGGATTTTAATGGAAATCTAAACTCCATTAAAATCCATGTTGGGGACACCCCCTTTAGATTCTCTTGATTTTAGAATCCGATTGCAGTTTTGTACACGCTCACTAAGGAGGGTGATGTTCACCCCCTTTGCTTTATGGTTGGCATGTAGTATTCCATCCCATTTTTTTCTTTAAAATGTTATAACTTTTTTATATTTCCTGATGTAATTAACTGATACTGTATACACTGGCCGATGTAGTGCATGAAGATCTAATGTTAGTGCAATGAAATGTAATAAAAATGCACTTTGCATAATATTATTTTGTTTTGCATGGGTATTGCATAGAAACACGTACTGCATATTGTGACTAATGCACTGCACGAAGGCATTATTTTGCATGACTTCTAGTAGGAGTAGTAGTGCACCTTGAGATGAAATTAGTACACCTAGAGATGAAATTAGTGCACTGCATATTTTTCATGGCTTCTAGTAGTGCACCTTGAGATGAAATTTGTGCACATATTTGATGTTATGTTTTAATGCACATAAGTGCAACTCTGCTGCATTACTAATTACCTTCGTGAGTTTGCTTTTCAATTAAGCCCTCTTTTTTAAAACAATCTATCTTTCTTAATTAGGCTTCAGATCATTTAATGCATTAAATGAATTTCAAAATTCTTGTCTTGAGATTTAACGTGCACCATCACCTTCCTTTTCTATTGTATTTTTCTTTTTCCTAATAAGCCCTTGACATCAATTACTCCATAATTACTACTCCGTATGAGTTAATAATGGATTCTTTCCTATTTCACAATGCATACGGAAGATATTATGTGTGCCACACGATTGAGATATTAAACGTTCAAGATTGCTTCTCATTTCTCACCCAAGCATGTCTTCTTACTTGATCGTAAGAAAGTACATAATTTAGAATCTGGTTTTACTCCTCGTGTGTGCAATTTGGAAGATAGAATCACTGTAAAACATTTAATTTGCTCTTTAAATTTCTATTTAAGTGTAAGAATAATTAAAACTATTACGTAGACTCGTAGTAACTATTGAATTTCTCAGAATAGTTTTGAACCCGCTTTCTATGGGATATGATATTTGATAATTTGATATCACACAATATCAAAGATCGTGTCACCCTAGCCATATATGATATGTTCACTAAAAAAGAATTATACTACGTACCATTTATACGTAACCAACCTCATCCTTGACAAATTTATATGGTCCTTAGTGTTTAGGGACCTTCGTTTTAGTTTCAATTAAATTAAATAGACAGCAGATTAAAGCTATTTAGAACATATTTATGGGGCCCATGGGGACAATGCATATAGATGATATAAATGAACAAAAATGGATAAAAGTCCTTCATCAGATGTGCCCCCTTACCAAACCTCTATAATATTGTACCTCTCAGTTTTGATGACTTAGTCACAAGAAGACAGCTTCATTGCATGCATGATTGAATTGGGTGTGAATTAATTTCCCCTTTTTGCAATTGCTCTTTCTCTATCTTTGTTGAATAGAGCTATTTAGCTCATTTCGAAGCTTCATTTTTCGTTTGCCTTCCCACCTTAATTAATTAGCAAACTATTGGACCATTTCACTTCAATGGGCACGTCTTTAGCAATAATTGGATTAATTGCCAATCCGTAATGAAGTGAAAGATTATTTGTCTAAGTGAAGTTGGTTGAAGATGCACATAAAAAGGTGAATTCTCTATAGTACGGAATATGTAAGAACAGGATAATTACTTTTACATCTATAGGTTAAGTAGAAAATGTATGTACACAAAGATTTCTCATAGAAGGAAGATATTTTTAGGGGTAATTTGAGTTTGACGACCCCAAATTATTGTCTACATTGGACTTTGCACCCCGTTTTTAAAACTCTTTGTTTTTGCACCCCAACCTCATATGAAAAGACAGAAATGCCCCTCTTTTAAAATTTTGTTGACCTTCAACATATTCCTGATTGAGGGCATTTTTGTCTTTTCATATGAGGTTAGGGTGCAAAAACAAAGATTTTTAAAAACAGGGTGCAAAGTCTAATTTAGATAATAATGTGAGGTGCAAATTCAAATTATCCCATATTTTTATTGTACTAATCAACTTGCAATCTCTTCTTACTGTGCAAAAGATAATAATCTAATTATCTGAGTTCCTTTTAATTTTCCGATCTTATAATTCAAGGATTCAGAGGTAGGATCCTATACACAACGGATCATGTATGTTCAAGTAAGGTCATAATCTACTTATTTGAGTTATAAATCAAAGAATTATTCCTATTGATGCAACTTAACGTATGATGCTAATATATATTCTAAATTAATTATAGATAATTTAAATCATAAGGAATGAGTACGAATCTCAAAGAATTTGCTTAAATAGTTTCTGATATGTGAGATGTCTCTTACATACTCATAGTAATAGTAATTATTATTATTATTACAATTATTATTGTTGCTGTTGTTATATTATTATTATTATTTTTATTATTATTATTCTATAGCTATCGTCATGTTAATAAACTTACATAGAGTCTTCCCAAATTTTTTTTACATAGAAATAAATAAAACAAAAGCGTTTAATATCAATTAGAATCATACTAGGTTTATTTATACTACGTAATTGAGATCATATCCAAAATCAGAATTCATTTCATAATTGAAAGTCAAATCGGATCTTATTATGGTTCGGCTCGGGGTTTATTGGATGAGTCCACTAGATCACAGTGAGGGTAAGGGTGTAGTACGTACTGAACTGAGCCAAAGTAAAGAATTTTTTTTGAATGATTTTTACCTGACACTTTTTACACTAACAAGGGATGTGTAAGGGTTAGCATGCACCCCCCCCCCCCCCCCCCCTCGTTGTATTCGCTTGACCCATATGTATCTAATACTCATACTCGCTCATACACGTCATGTACGTTGTTAACGTACGCATGCATGATGCATGGTACGCATGCATGGCACATGCATGCCTTTCCGGATGACTCGCACGCATGATGATCTCCTCCGTAATTAATTGTAAAATTCAAATCAGTTTGAATTGTTGTTGTACTATATACGCCGCATGATAGGGATAGACTTTAGTTTTGCATAGCTAGTTTGTTACAAGAATAACGCATGCGGATAATTACTATGTAACAAACTAGCTATGCAAAACTAAAGTCTATCCCTATCATGCGGCGTATATAGTACAACAACAATTCAAACTGATTTGAATTTTACAATTAATTACGGAGGAGATCATCATGCGTGCGAGTCATCCGGAAAGGAATTAGAAGATTGGATTTACCTCTTGGAGGGGGTGACACAAAGGTTGTGGATTTATCACTATTGGATCAAGCACATCGAACTGTATTATTCAATACCCCTGAAGTGCAGCCCTACATGCAGTACGTTAAGCTATGAATACCCCATTTTTAACCTACCCGCCATAAAAAGTAGGCTACATTCTCTAATCAATTGTATAATTTCAAATGCTAGGGAACATATGATGCACCTGCAATTAGGGGATGCAGATTGTTCTGAAACAGAGCATTTCCTTACGTTCACTAAGTGGTTTCAACAAAAGGTCATTTTCTTATATCACACACAAATATATATATATATATATATATATATATATATATATATATATATATATATATTTGTGTGTGTGTGTGTGTATATATAGAAATATATCAGTTGAGACCCACTTTCCTAATATGAATTACTGAATACTATATTATATATTGTCGTAGGTTGAACTTGATGTTGCAAACGGTGTAAATGTGGACGAAACAGTGAGGTGGTTAGCTAAGAAACCCAACACAACTGTCAGTATATACTCGGGTTATACTGTTAATGGTTATAACTTTGCCACTAAAGCCCGAGATTCAAACCGTGTTACGCAAAACAGTGGAATTTGCCTTGAGGCAGATTCAGTACGAGTGTCGAGTTATACAAATAACAGTCCTTTAATGGCATCCACAAATTTTTATGGTGTGCTCGATGAAATTTGGGTGCTTCACTACCTCATGACCAAGAGGGTCGTATTCAAGTGTGATTGGGTTGATGGTAGGCACATAACTAAAGATAAACTGGGCTTCACAATAGTAGATCTGAAAAAACTTGGTCATAAAAATGACCAGTTCATTTTACCATCTCATGCCAAACAAGTCTTTTACGTTAAAGATCAACTTGATAATAGAAAATCAGTTGTTTGTTCAGTTGGTCAAAGGGTGAGTAATAGTTTACATGATGCGTCAGAAGATATGGTTATACATGAACCTCTAACTCTAAAGTATCCAACACCGCTCATTAATGAGGAGAATCCAGATGATGAGGACATTTATAATAGAGTAATATGTGATGCACCTATGTGTAAGTGATTATATAGTGCTCTAGTCCTATTTTAATATACTATTTGTGTCATGTTATATAACGTTTTTTAAACCTTAATTGAATTTCAATCCATGTTTTATCTCCAGGATCACATAACCAGTTATGTCTGCTGCTGAAGAAGATCTGAATGACTGGGAAACTGAGGAGGAAGAAGATAAGTATGTTGCGAGACCGTGTAGGAGACAAAAGACAAAGAAGAAACTTTTGCTCAAGAAGGCTAGTGATGACAAAGTGATTGTCCAGGCAAATGAGTTTGGTGTTCTTTCAGGTGATGGCTGGACTGAGTTGGCCAATTATATAGGAGTTGTAGTTAGAGATAATGTGTCGATACTATTTGATGATTGGAGACTAGTAAAAGATCAACAGAAAGAGAAGCTATGGAAGCATATTAAGGTAACAACTAACAGTTTGTGGCTACTTATTTTAATTTATGGTGCTGCACTAATCATTTCATTATGTTTGTATGTTCCAGAAATTGTTTGTCGTGAGTCCTAAGGGTAAGAAGCAAGTTTTGAGTACAATGGGAGTAGCTTTGAGGAATTTCAGGTCTACCTTAAGGAATGAATTCATCTTCCCGCACAAGGACAATTTGAAGATGTTGCGCTTACCTCCAAAAGAGTACGAGCACATACCCACTGATGAGTGGAAACTGTTTGTCCTGAAAAGTTTCAAAGCAGAATTTTTAGTAAGTCAAATAATGCATTCTGAAAAGTTCATAAAAATGTAGTCTCTTTGTTCTAAAAACTATGAAAGCAAAAAATACTTTAACTCTTAGTAAATTTTGATGATGCTACTAAAATGATCCTAGGCAAAGAGCAACAAGGGGAAAGCAAGAAGAAAGAAGAACAAGTATAACCACAGGTTGGGGTCATCCGGCTATAGTGGTTTATTGAAGAGGAAGGTATTTTGGTTATTTTTCTGTTGTTAATTATAGTAGTAATAATATCACTATAAGTGTTTTACTGAAGATGAAGATATATTAGTGTTATAACAAGTAAGTTTTATATTTCAATTTTCAAAATTGTTAGATAAAGGAACTTGGAGCTAGCTTGAAGGATCTTGATCGGGCTGATACATGGCTATTGGGCAGACAAAAGAAAGATGGTGGGTACGATGAGGAGGTGAAAGAAGTTGCTGAAAAGATAGTAAGTATAATTCAATTACCACATACTGTTTATTATCCTTAAACTGAACACACACATACTAGTCACCGTAGGTTGATTGCCATTGTTACTACATTTTCTTTGTCGGGTAGTCATAAATTTTTATTTAATTAATAATGGGCTGTATTTATTTTTTCACCATACTTATACACAAGTATGTGTGATTTTCAATTACCAGATAGAAACTTTTTCAGTCAGCCATTGTATTTGAAACTATTTGGCTATTGTAGGGAAGGAGAGTACACATCAACACATAACGTGTCTGTAGTTTGCATTCTTAGATGATTTACTGATGAATTTGAAATATAGTAAACTCATGTATATCTTTTTGGATACAGTAATAGAAGTAGTACTCAGTATATTGATAAACTGAACATACACATTCTGATTTTTACTCTTAAACTGAACACCCATACATTCTGATTTAGTGATGATTTACTAATAAATTAATGATGTGAGCAATATGATGTGTGTGGCAAGAGTGTTCTATCTTTTTGGATACAGTAATAGAAGTAGTACTCAGTATATTGATAAACTGAACATACACTAATATTCTGATTTTGACTCTTAAACTGAACACCCATACATTCTGGTTTACTAATGATTTACTAATAAATTAATGATGTGAGCAGTATGATGTGTGGCAAGAGTGTTATATCTTTTTGGATACAGTAATAGAAGTAGTACTCAGTATATTGATAAACTGAACATACACTAATATTCTGATTTTGACTCTTAAACTGAACACCCATGCATACTAAATTTTGTCATGCAGAAGGAGTTGAAGGCTAAAGTGGAGGAAGGGTCATTTGTGCCATGTGGCTCAAATGACATTATGGCTGCCGCTTTGGATAAAAAGCCCAATGGAAGTAGAATCCAAGGAGTGGGTCACTTCATTACTCCCACCATGTACTTTCACATGCCGATTGGTGGAGTTGAAGAGAAGGACGTTGAGAAGAAACTTTGTGATCGAAGGTATGATATGATGATAAAGCGTCTTGATGAACTGAAAGCTGAAGTGAGGCAGTATGCTTGTAGTGATATAGGCAGTTGTAGTGTTCAAGCAAAGTCTACGACATCTCCAAAACGAAAAAGAAAGGTTTGTACTCCCTACATTCATGAAGCAATTAAGACAGTAAGCACACTTATATTTTTTTAATACATTAATGACGCAATTATTAACTTTTTGATAGGCTACTACAGAGGTCGAGAAGCACGTTACTCCCTTGAAAAAACAGCACTTAGTTTCCAGAAAATCTCCAAGACGTGTCTCTAAAGAGACTGAATCTAAAACTCAAGTAGCCAAAGATGAAGAGCAAGATCATGAGGTTAAACGACTATCAAGAAAAAAGAAGAATGGGAAAAAAAAGGTACATTTGATTCACGTATTATTTTGAAAAATAATAAGATTCAAAATTAATTATTTGAGGTTGAAGAATGATAACTTTTATACCTTATCATTTTAGGTTAAAGATGTTGAAGTTGAAGATGTGAGAGACAATATAGATGATTGGGAAGCAGAATTAGGGAGATATATGGAAGAAGAGTGTGAAGAAAAACAACAAGGGCTTGCAAGTCAAAGTCCCAAAAAACCGCCCCAGCATTTCATCGAAAATCATGATCCTACATTGGTTGAGAAACAAGTAGAGGATGTAAGGGAAGAATTGGAGGATCAAGGGGTTGTCATCATCAAGGAAAAAAACAGGCCTGCAATGAAGAAAAAGGTTGCGCCTTCAAGAAAGCTAAATATGCAAAGAACGACGAGGTCTGTGATGGAAAAGAGAAAAGAACAAAGCGTTCAATTGAAGATGTTCTCTGTTTTTATTGAGGGATGCCTCGGAGATGGCTACCCAATCAATCACGATGAAGAAGTGTTTGGATTCTCAACAAAATCTTCCTTTAATAAGGATGTGTGCAGAATTGTTATAAACTGTGAGAGAGTTTCAAATTCTGTCATAGAAATTTGGTGCAAGTAAGCTAAGTCTTTCAATCATTGTGCTCTATATATCTGTTAATATACTATTCACGTGTACGCAATGTAATAACTTAATTAATGAATTTGTAGGCACCTTCATGAAAACATGGTTGAACTGGGGGAGATGCCTGTACAGTTTGGGACTTCTGCTGCCATAGCATGCCCAAAGAGGCTATCAGATGAATCGGTGACTAGAAGGTCTCAATATATTTCAGATATTTTAAGTGCAGCCTTACCTGGACAGATCACCTTGATCCCGTATAATGCAGGGTATGGTATTAATATAATATAAAATTATCTTATTATATGTGATCCTGGAATTAGTTGAGAAAGGAAATCCCTTTTTAAAAATCTTTGCTTTGCTTATGTTTTTATATAGTTTATGGTTTGTTACAAGTACAACAGGTTTTCTTAGAATTTGGTTATAGTTTTTTTAGATGCCTCTTATTTTTTGTGAACTTTTTGAAATAACCAGAAATCTTGATAGACAAAACTATCACTTACAAATACCATCACTGCTTTCTATAAGAAATAGTTAATCTGATCGTAGTGTTAGAAAGAACCTATACAAAAAACTCAAAGCTAAGAAGCATCATTTCTTTCAGCAAAAACTTTGGACATTCCAAGTCTGAATGTATATTCATTTATAATTCTTTTATGGGTGTATATTATGATCACAATGATCATGACTATTTTCAATGCAGCGACCATTGGGTGTTGGGTGCCATTGATCTTGAAATGAGTAGGATCTACTACTTGGATTCAATTGGAGATACTCCAGCTGCTGATTTTGAGCTTATTATGAATCAGTTACATATTCATTTTTCTCATATTCCTCTGTTTTTGAACTTTTTTACTAATCAGTCATATATGAGGAGTCCTTGAGTCTGCCGTGATGAAATTTTATAACTCATTTTCAGGGGAGTAAAGATCTATCAGGCCGCAAAGTCAAATAAGAGACTAACATGGAGTTGGTTAACTGTAACGGTATCACTTGACTAGTAAAAATAATAACATCTCAACCTTTAATTTATATTTATTAAATCCTAAATTGAAATTTATATATGTAGTGCCCAAAGCAAAAAGGTTCAATTGAATGTGGCTACTTCGTGATGAAGTATATCAAGGATATTGTGGGCAATGTGAATGTGTTGAAGAACAATGTAAGACAATTTTAACGTAATTCTTATTTCACTTAACTTTAATGTCAAATTGATAGTTTACTTTAGTGACAAGATGAGATGGCAGTTCAGCTTGATTTAAATTTCAAGTCCTAAGATTTGAAAATGCCTTTGAGTTAAAATCTTATATGTACACAATCAGCAATTAAAATCTGTAGCTAAGATTTGAAAATGCATGTGTTTCTTGACATCAAGTCATATTTTGTATTACCTGGGAGTATAATTCTTTTAATGTTTGGTTTTAACTAAAAATTCATAAGTAAAAATGTGATAGGTTACTTTAATTTGAACGTAATTACTTTAATATTTAGTGTTAGTTTTTACTATCTAGTTAACGTAATTGTTAATTATTTGGTGTAGTTTTCTGCAATTATGGACTATTCTGAACATGACATCCTTCAAATACGGGAGGAGTGGGCTTCGTATGCAGCAACTTTGGTGAAAGAGTAAGTTGAAATGTCTTTGTTCAAAAATTGCCTATGTTGTGATGTGTGATGCTACGTCAATATCAGTCTTGTGCACTTGGTTGTTAATCAATTGTGTATTTTTTTTGTGATTAGTTGAATGAACTTTGGGGCTGCAAATGTGTTCAAGGAAAGGCCAGCTGGTGAAAAAATGTGAAGAACTTTCGGGAAAAAATGTTGTGTTATGATGTAGTTGGGAAAACTAAGCATGGTTGTGAACCATTGTTGTAATGCTTTTGTGATGATGTATTATTATGCTAGGAGTGTTGTGAAACTTTAACAATGGCATGGTATACTCTGGTGTAGTTTGGATTGGCTAGCTTATTTTGACTTTAATAGCTAGCTTGATGATCATTTTGAAATATTGTGACTTTGATAAGTTATTTTGAGAACATTTCATATTTATGGGTTGGTATGAATATATAAAATCTAGGTGTATGATTGATATTAAAGAAATCCTGGAAATAAGAATATTCAATATATATATATATATGGAAATATTTCAGAAATTCAAAATGAAAAAAATTAAGTAGATGATACTAAGATGTCATCATTTTGGTTGACAATAGTATGTCATTAACTACCATGACACAAAAGTGTCATACATTATCATGATAGAAATGTGTCATAACATTTAGACACACAAAATTATCAAAGTTTTATGTGATTTTTATGTATCATTAAATTTGGAGACACCATAGTATCATAGAAAAGTATGGTGTTTATATATCATAAAATATGTTGTTACTCTTGTGTCACAATTTGGTGACACTAAGTCGTGACACTAAATTTAGTGTCACAACTCCCAGTTTTCGTTGACACTTTCCTAGTGTCAGGAAATCTTTCGCTGACACTAAGTTTGTGTCACTATAGGGCCATTTTCTACTGGTGTAGATTAGTTTTTATATAACTTACTAGCTATTTCATATATAGTTGGGGATATCGGACCATAGTAGCGGTATGGACCGTATGGCTGACTCTTTTGCTATGTCGTAAACCTCACTTGATATTTTTTGTTTCTATTTATACCGGTAGGTCAACCACCAATCCACTACAAAAAATTCGCGTTATAGTCACGGACTTAGTCACGGATAATAGTGTAAAAAATCCGTGACTAACTCATTTAGTCACGGACATAGTCACGGCCAAAATCCGAGACTTCTCAGGCGTGACTAAATTTAGTCACGGATCTTTGTCCGTGACTAAAGTTAGTCACAGACTCGTCACGGCCTATTTCCGTGACTACATTGTCACCGGAATACTCTTCCGATCAGCCAAATTAACTTTAGTCACGGACGTCGTCCGTGACTAAAAATTCAAATTTTCAAAATAGTCACGGAGATAATCCGTGACTAAAATATCAAAAATTCAAAATTTCAAATTCAAATTTTTCAGACTACGATTTCAAATTTTCAAATTAGTCACGGACAGAATCCGTGACTAATTATTTTTATTTTAAAAAAAAATAAATTTTTTAATTTTCGAAAAAAGAATACCGGACTAGGTTAGTCACGGAATCAGTCCGTGACTATTTTATTTTAAATTTTAAAAAAAAATTATTTTTTAAATGGTTCTTTATTAAAAAGAATTTTTACAATTTACTTTTTAAAAATTGTAATACGTTTTTTAATTATTTTGAAAAACAGAAATAAATGCTACATAAATTCACTCAGACACATTAATAGAAAATTTAAAAGTCATGCATAAACAATTTAATAGAAAGGAAATTCACACACATTTAAATCTAAAATCTAAAAATATATTATTACAGTCATTCATAATAATGAACATCACTTGGCTCTTGGGGCTGCTCGGGCTCTTCGGGCTCTTCGGGCCGGGTGCCTCCTTGGGTGCCTCCGCGGCTTGCTCCTCCGCGGCTGGTTCTTCCTCGGCTGGATCCTCCGCGACTGGATCCTCCGCGGCTGCCTACGGGTGTCTGAAACATGTTGTTCCAAGAATGATCATGAAATGATCCGTAGGAGGGCATGTTAAACCCGGAGTTGGAATGGAAGTTGCCCATTTGCGGAATTTGAGGAGTCATTTCAGGAGGTCTCACATACGTCGGAGGCCGATAGGCGGCATTGAACATATTCATTTGCCGTTCCATCATCTCAAGCCGGACTCTTGTTTCTTCATCCTTCTGGCGTTGCTCCTCTAATTGTCGCTGCAATTCGACAATACGAGGATCCTCACCACGCCGCGAACTAGAAGAAGAAGAGCCGTCGCGGTTGAGCAAAATCCGTTGGCCTTCAGCACCCAAGCAAGGAACCCGGCCTTTGTAAACCCCAGCTGCCTCCAGAATCGCCTCATCATCCTCATCAGAAGCGAGGTCATCCTCTTCCGTCAAGCCAAGCTCGGCACGCTTATTTTCAACGGTTGAGTTATACTTCGTCTTCATGTTCAAGATAAATTCAAGTTAGAAACTTTTTATTTAGAAGTAAAAGAGCACAAGTGTATTTCTTACTTCGATTTCAGCGATGCGAGGGGGAAGGTCGGCTTCCGATTCGTCCCCGCCCTTCGTCCAACAGTGCTTTAACACCTTCAGATACGAGACCCTCTTTTTCTCGGGTCCCGCCTACATGGTTCCGAACGATTTAAAATCCAAAACTAATTGTAAACATGAAGGATTGTCTATTTTTATTTTTTGAATTAGAACTTACAAGAGTTTTTTTATGCAGAGGAAGAGGTTTACGGCCCCCATGCCATTGGGTCTCCAAAGCCTTTTCACACATCCGGTTTTTCTTACCGGCTGCGCTTCGTTGCGCAAACTTCGGATCCGTGGACCAATGGTTAACAAGATTGGCCCACACATCATCGGCAATCCATGCGGGCTTCTTCATGTCTTTTCGGTAGCGTTTAAAAGAACTTACCATCCAAGACGAAACTCTTGCATTATACGCTTTAAGGATGGCGGGACCATCCGCTTCAAGCCATCGGTGTTGGGACTTTATTTAAAAAAATAAAATTAGTTTATTATTTATCAAATTTTAAGTTACCACGTTTGAATCAAGAAAATTCATTTATTTTTACCTTAAACAAGTTCCACCAAAGTTCGCGGACCTCAGCGTCTACTTCAGTGTAGGAAATCCAAGCTTGACCAGGCGCACATTTCGTGCTTCCATTGCAAATTGAGGATGGCAACGGTCAAAGTGTCTCCAAGCTTCACAGTCTGAAGGGTGAGACATCATACCCTCTTTGGTTTCGTGTTGAACATGCCATGTCATGTGTTTTGCAGTAGCATTTGAAGCATACATTCTTTGAAGTCGTGGACCTATTGGGAGGTAATACAATTTAGATAATGCAGACCTATTTCGTGATTTTCTTTTAGTTTGACGAACAGGTTTGTATCTGTCTCCTCCACAGAACTTGCAGATCTCAAGTGTCTCATCATCCTTCCAGAACAGCATACATCCCTTAGGGCACGCATCAATTTCTATGTGAGGAAGCCCCAACTTAGATATTAATTGTTTCATGTTGTAATATGAATCAGGGAGGCTGTGGTCACGCGGTAGCATTCCTCCAACTGACTGCAACACTCTAGACATGCAAGTTTCAGGGAGACTGTATTCAGCTTTTATGTTCATGAACTCTGTAACGGCTGACAGCTGAGAGTATCCCTCACAATCAGCATACAGAGGTTGATCAGCAGCTTTTAAAACATCTTGAAATCTCTCAGCTAAATCCTCATCCACATAAGGCTGATACCCGGACCCGGAGGCTTCAGCAGGATCGTTAAATTGTTGTGGGGGGTTAAACTGAGACAACGGGACACCGTATCCGTCATATACCATTTGTTGATCCCATCTCATATCAGCATATTCTCCCCACCCACTCATCTGGTCAGGGACGTTACGAGACGAACCCACTGTTTGTGGTAAAAGAGATGGATCATAAGCTTCACCATGACAAGTCCAATTATAATAATTGGGAACAAAACCGTCCGCGTATAAATCCCACCCAACAGCGTCTTGGTCTTTAAATTGCATATTTTTACACTTTGAACATGGACATCTGATATTATCACCACTCATATAATCCGGGTGTTCAAGTGCAAATTTAATAAACTCCGCAATTCCATCAAGAAAATTTGTTTTCATTCCGTACAACTCCGCATTTTTATCATACATCCAACTTCTATTTTGCCTATACATTATGCCTGAATATTATAAAAAAAATATATATTGGTTATAAATTACAAATTATAGACATTAACAACATATGTATAGTAGGAGCATTATTAATATATTCAATTTTACGAAACAATAACTTTCAATTAATAATATTAATTAACTAGAACTAATACGATAATATGATGTCATTAATCATTTAAATCATACACTAATTATATTTACGAAATAAATGTTTATTAAGAGACATATATAATAATTCAAATAATTCACAAAATTAAATGAATTAAGTTACAAAATTATTACGAAATTAATAAATTAGTAAATATTTACGAAAATATTTACGAAATTAATAATAAATGTTTACTTTAATTATATTCAATAATTAGTGATTCAATAACACAAATTTAATAACAAATAACGTAATTGTATCCTAATTTATATAACACTAATTTATATAACACTAAATCCTAATTCTAACAAGAAATCATAATTAATAAAATGCAATAAATTACTAAATATTTAATTAATTTACGTAATTCTAACTAAATACAACATCATGCACTAAGTAAACTAATTTTAACTAATTTATTTCGTTAATTAATTAACAAGAAATCATAATTTATAAAATGCAATAAATTACTAAAAATTTAACTAATTTACGTAATTCTAACTAAATATATAACATCATGCACCAAGTTAACTAATTGTAACTAATTTATTTTGTTAATTAATTAACAAGAAATCATAATTTATAAAATGCAATAAATTACTAAAAATTTAACTAATTTACGTAATTCTAACTAAATATATAACATCATGCACCAAGTTAAATAATTTTAACTAATTTATTTTGTTAATATAAAATGCAATAAATTACAACAAATTTAACTAATTTACGTAATTCTAACTAAATATATAACATCATGCACCAAGTTAAATAATTTTAACTAATTTATTTCGTTAATATAAAATGCAATAAATTACTACAAATTTAACTAATTTACGTAATTCTAACTAAATATATAACATCATGCACCAAATTAAATAATTTTAACTAATTTATTTCGTTAATATAAAATGCAATAAATTACTACAAATTTAACTAATTTACGTAATTCTAACTAAATACAATATCATGCACTAAGTTAACTAATTTTAACTAATTTATTTCGTTAATTAATTAACAACAAATCATAATTTATAAAATGTAATAAATTACTAAATATTTAACTAATTTACGTAATTCTAAGTAAATATTTAGCCAAATTTGAACCAATTTATTTCGTTAATTAATTAACCACCTTTTTTAAACCCATTTTAAGTAAATAAAACCTAAAATTTACCTACTATTATCATAAATTTAACTATTTTAACTAATTAATTCAACTTTATGCTAACTTATTTACCTAATATTAAAAATTAATTCTTGATAATAAAACATAAGTAAAATAACATACCTTATCTGCATAAACAGAGAAAATGACGGAAGATAGACTACATCCGCTTAATCTTTCAGACAGATACTGTATTATATATATATAAGGAATGAGTTGGTGTGATTCAACTGAATGAGTTTGGCCATCCATATATAAAAAAATTAGTCACGGATGTAGTCACGGATTCATCCGTGACTAAAGTTTTCCGTACAAATTACCAGACCGAATTAAATAAGGACCGTTGAAAAATTAAATTTTCGTTTTAGTCACGGTACTAGTCACGGATATGTCCGTGACTAATAGCCGGAGTAAAATAAAATCTGCCGGAGAAGGAATTCCGGTCACCGGAGGAGATTAGTCACGACTTTCGTCCGTGACTAAGTTTAGTCACGGACGTAGTCACGGCCAAATCCGTGACTAACATTATTTTTAAAAATCCGTGACTAGTCCGTGACTACAACCGTGACTACTTAGTCACGGACGGAATCCGTGACTAAAATCCGTGACTAAACGCGTGTTTTTTTGTAGTGATCGGTGGGGCAAACTCCGGTCAACGTTTGTCAATTATTATAGATAATAGACCCTAATTGATATTCATTCATGCAAACCTTACTATTTATCCTTTTTCTTCAATAGCTCACTATCTCAACATTTTAATTAATATAATTTGGATCTTATTATCCATCACTATTTGTTCCGTTCTTCTTTAACTTTTTTCCTCCTTTTTCATTATTTTTATTTTTCTTCTATTTTCTCACTCCCGATCACTCTCTATGCACTTGTCTTTTGAAGCCCCCTAATTTTTTTTGACTTTTTTTCACTTTCTTCATTTTAATCTCCCAAAAAATGTGTATATGACAAAAATAAATTTTGTTAATAAAAATATGATTCATAAATGTAGTGGCTATTATATATAGTAAATTAATCATAATAAATTATGTTCAATTTTTACACTCAAGTGACTATGAGACTGCATTATGATAAGTTACACAGTATTTTTTTGTAAATACTAAATAATTAGTTTCATTTCAATTATTTTTTAAACTTTATATTTCAAATGACTTTATGTAATGATATGGGTCGTTAAAAATTTGTTTGCAGTATTTAAGAAGACAAAAAAAATGACGTAAAAATAGAAAATATCCAAGTGATTTCGATTATGGTATATTTCCATATTCGAGAGCATGGGCATGTGATATAAGACAACAAGCTAGGTAGATAATGCTCTTTATGATCGCGCTGGACCTATAATGTTGACAAATATCGTACTTTAGCATGTTTTTTACCCAATGACAATGATATTGAAGCGGTTATGTTTGTCTTAATATTTATTTATTTTATTCAGAAGTTCTTAGATTAGATTAGAAAAAGCGAAATGGTCTTAAATAAGACCAAAGCTTTATGTATATACCCGTATAGGACCACATGCTTTTTAATACCTAATAAATACGACTAATTATTTATTCCATGCCAATTTTGCCCTTGATTTAGTTGTAGGATACTCTTCCTTCGTTTTCCTGAGACGCATATTCCCGTCGCTAGCCTTCTCCATTCTCTTGCCGCCTCATCTCAGTCCTCTTTGTTCTGGCGCCGACCAGTCCACCCGTCACGGCGGCCGCGATTATTTTAGCTGTGAAATAATTGCACCTCCGGACTTCTTGAGTTCTTCTTTACGTAGAAATACAGAGCGGTGCATCGGATTCATCTCTAAATCTTCAGTACAGATCTAATGAACATCTCCTGAAGCAGCTCTCGGAATATTTTTCTGTTCATTCCAGATTAAGCCTTTTTCATTTAGAGGATTGCCATGCTTCAATTTGGATGTAATTGTAAGTGAGGAAGGTCACCAGCAGATATGGAGGCCGCTGCAAGTGATGGAGGCCGTCGCTGCAAGTGATGAAGATAGCCGGATATTTTCTTGCCGTGAAAGACTATTACAGATTGAATCTTTTCTTAAAAGCACTATTACAGATTCTGCTCGCCTCTCTTTCTCAATTTTTAGTTATTTTGATTTATTTTGTAAACTAAAACAATTTTTTTGTCAACGTTATGGATTTTATTATCTCAGACTCCGTATGGAGTAGTAATAGTGTAATATACTCGGTAGTCGGTAATTATTACTCAATTGATTGGTGCACACAATTGATTACATCAATGATTTTTTACAAAATAAATAATTAAATCATTTCCAAATATTAATTTAAATAGATGCATTTGCAATATCCAAAGAAAAGAAAACAAAAATAGTGCTCTGTACATACAAACAAGCTGAAAGCAGCGAAATAAGGAATGTATTTTATTGTCATTGACATTCTTATGACAATATCGTTGACATTGTTTTTTATTGACATTTTTATGACATTGTCAATGACATTCTTACGACATTATCGTTGACATTGTTTTTTATATTTGCGGTTTCAGATAGGTCTTATTTATGAGAAATGGTCATAACTAGGACTTAAAATGTCCGTAAATACTTAAATAGGAGCCAGTCTTTTTTAACTCGTAAATAGGACTTCTTTTTTACTTCGTTCCAAAACTGCCCCACGAGATTCCTTATCTCTCGTCCACAATCTCACCAAACACTCTCTCACGCTCCTTCCTCCATAGCCATGGCAGGCTGCAGCTTCAAGGTCCAGCACGGCAGAAGGAGTTGATCTGTAGTGGCGTACTAGCGTTGTAGATGTGGTGAGACTGATGAGACAGATAAGATACGACAGTGTGGCGCCGACGACTCAACAGAGAAAACGCAGCGGCGCCGCGGATGTTTTTTGCTAGCGACTCCCTTCTTTCCTTAGCTCGGCAGCCGACCTGTTTTTTTGCTCCGTCTCTGCGCGTGAACCTGGTGCTTATTCTAATCAATTTTTTTATTAGTTTTTTTGCTTTATCCGATCTCTTTCGTATCTAGTTTTGTTTTACGTAGATCTTTTTTTTTGGTTTTTTAAGCACTGTTTTTGGATCGCTGCCTTCTTCGGGTTATGGCCTTCTCGGTTGTGCTTCTGTTTCCGATTGGGGAAATTTCTCAAAGCGGGGATCCCGGGTAGTTTAGTGTAGGGAAGAAAAACACTGCCTGTCAAAGTAATTCAACCACACACCTAAAACAGTCCAAATATACTTGACAAGAATTCTCCCAGGCTTGCAAGAAAATCACAGGATCCCGATTTAAGAGCAGGTAGCAGTGAATGGCATCAAAAACATATATGGAGAAAGCTGTAAAATGAAATGAAACCAAGCACACACAGAACACCACGATTTTTTACGTGGAAAACCCCTCCAAATCGAAGAGGAAAAACCACGGGACCTCCGTCCACCCAAACTCTTCACTAATCAACAAGGAATAAGTACAAGAGAGTCTCCAAACATCAAAATATGATGATACAACAGCTCAAGAAGTATAAAACTTCAGCAAAGATACAAAGAGGATGAACAAGGATTGAAATCACCCTAAAAACTGCAGGTCTGTTCGGAGATGATTCCAGACGATCTGACCGTCACAATCCAATCTCCACCGTTCAGAATTTAGGTCTGTGTCTTGGGAACCTCCAGTCAAAATTTCAGCATAATCTGACCACGGATGCCTTCCCAATCGCGATTTCTATGAAGCTGGGTGAGCAGCAAATTTCTGCCCAGAAAATATTTCTCTCCTTTATCTGTTATCTTTTTCTGTTAGCTGATCTCTTCCCTGACCACAGGCAGTATCTTCAGACCACACCCATTGACTAAGTGAAGAGTCAAAATGACTTAATGGGTCTCCAACAATTTGGGCTATAATCACATAGGAGGGAATAAATGAGATAGGCCCAACAAATCTCCCCCTCCCGACTATGTGAAGAAATCATTCACTTTCCATCCCGGAAAGCGAACAACAAACCTCAAACTTCCATCTCGGTAATGCTTTTGTGAACATGTCAGCCCCATTATTATCAGTATGAACCTTTTCAAGCTCCAACAACCTATCATTCAAGACTTCACGGATCTAATGATACCTTACATCAATATGTTTAGATTTAGAATGAAAGGTTAAATTCTTACCGAGATGAATTGCACTTTGACTATCACATAGCAACACATATCTTTCTTGAGAGTATCCAAGTTCCTTCATAAAATTCTTCATCCAAAGCAACTCTTTGCAAGCTTCCGCGGCAGCTATAAATTCAGCTTCTGTAGTTGATATTGCAACACATCTTTGTAATCGAGATTGCCACGAAACAGCTCCCCCTTCAAAACTAATCAAATATCCAGAAGTAGACTTTCTTGAATCAATATCCCCAGCCATATCTGAATCAGTATAGCCTTCAAGAACATATTTTTCATTTCCAAAACAGAGTCTTAGACTTGAACTTCCCTGGAGATATCTCAAAATCCACTTCACTGCTTCCCAATGTTCTCTTCCTGGATTTGAAAGAAAACGACTAACCACTCCTACAGCATGAGAAATATCGGGCCTCGTACAAACCATGGCATACATCAAACTACCAACGGCTGAAGCATAAGGAACTCTATCCATCTCTTTCTTCTCATCTTCAGTTGAAGGGCATTGCTGGACACTTAGTTTGAAGTGACTAGCAAGTGGAGTGCTAACTGATTTTGCATTATCCATTCTAAACCTTTGAAGCACTTTCAGAATATAACTCTCTTGTGATAGCCAAAGCTTTCTTTCTTTTCTGTCCCGAGTGATCTTCACTCTAGGAATCTGCTTTGCTGGTCCCAAGTCTTTCATAGCAAAACATTTGTTCAACTCTTGCTTCAACATATTGATCCTAGAAGCATTCTTACCAACAATAAGCATATCATCAACATAAAGCAAAAGTACAATAAAGTCATCATCAGAAAACTTTTGCATAAACACACAATGATCAGAAGTGGTCTTTTTGTAACCCTGCTTACTCATAACAGACTCAAACTTCTTGTACCACTGTCTCGGTGCTTGTTTCAAACCACATAAACTTTTCTTCAATCGGCACACATGATCTTCTTTACCTTTGACCTTAAAACCCTCTGGTTGTTCCATGTAAATCTCTTCCTCAAGATTACCATGAAGAAAAGCTGTCTTCACATCCATCTGCTCAACCTCCAAATCAAGAATAGCAGCTAAAGCAAGCACAACTCTAATGGAAGACATTTTCACAACAGGAGAAAAAATTTCAGAAAAATCAACTCCTTTTCTCTGATTAAAACCTTTGACTACTAATCTAGCTTTGTATCGTGGGTTTGAGGAATGTTCCTCCTGTTTTAACCTGTAAACCCACCTATTCTTCAAAGCTTTCTTACCATTGGGTAACTTTACCAAATCAAAGGTATGATTATCATGCAAAGATTCCATCTCATTTTGCATTGCCCTGAACCACTTATCTTTTTGCTCACTTTCCAGTACTTCATCAAAGCATTCAGGTTCTCCCCCGTCAGTCAAGAGCACATAAGTGTCAGGATTATACCTAACAGAAGGTATTTTAGCTCTTGTAGTCCGTCTAGGAGGAACTGGAGCTTCATGTGATTCCTCTGGCATGTATGTAACTTCTGGATGTTGAATATCAGTAGTTTCATCCTCTGGAGTCTTAGTGTCAACTGTATCCTGGTGTGTATCGGGCTGAGCCGTATCATCAACAATAGTAGACTCATTACGAGTTCCCTCATCACCCAAGTCGACAAGATCATCATACATCTGTGTTGCTGTCATCTGAACCTTCTGAATATCCTTAATAGTTTGATCTTCACAGAATACAACATCTCTACTTCTGACAAGTTTCTTCTCAACTGGATCATATAACCTGTACCCAAACTCATCCTGGCCATAACCTAGAAAGATACATTGTCTAGTCTTTGCCTCAAGTTTAGACCGTTCATCTTTAGGAATATGAACAAAAGCCTTACAACCAAAGACTCTTAAATGATCATAAGAAGATTTCTTGCCTGACCAAACATTCTCTGGAACATCTCCATCTAAAGCATAAGCTGGGGACAGATTAATCACATGAACTGCTGCGTACAAAGCTTCACCCCAGAAGCTCGGTGATAGCTTAGCTTCATAAAGTAAACAGCGAACTCTCTCAATTAAAGTTCTGTTCATTCTTTCTGCCAAACCATTTAGTTGAGGAGTTTTGGGAGGAGTCTTCTGATGCCTTATCCCTAGTTTTCTGCAATAATGATCAAATGGACCACAATATTCACCACCATTATCTGTTCGGATGCACTTGACTTTGTTTCCCGTCTGCCTCTCAACAAGAGCTTGAAATTCCATAAACTTATCTAGAACTTGATCCTTGGTCTTTAAAGCATAGACCCACACCTTTCTAGAATAGTCATCAATGAAACTCACAAAATAAGATCCACCGCTAAAAGATTGTACCTTTAAAGGACCACACACATCGGAATGAATCAACTCCAACACGCTTGATTTTCTGTGAGGAGAATTACTCTTGAAGGACACTCTGTTTTGTTTTCCCGCCATGCAATGATCACACTTGTTTAACTTTGTTGTACCAAGTCCAGAAATAACATTGTTTCTAATTAAACAATTAAGTCCCTTTTCACTAATATGGCTAAGTCGTCTATGCCATAAATCAGATGAGGTTTTGCTGTCCACTGCATTGATGCTGCCAGAAACGAAAGCCTGCAATAAATAAAGATTAGAAGACTTCTTCCCACGAGCCACAATCAATGAACCCTTGGAGAGCTTCCACTCCCCGCCAATAAAACTGTTGCAGAAACCATCATTGTCAAGTCTTCCAACTGAGATCAAATTTAGGCGAATATCTGGAGCATGTCTGACATCTTTAAGGATCAATTGAGTGCCATTACTAGTCTGCAATCACACATCACCCATGCCAATAACCTTTGACACACCATCATTGCCCATCCTGAGAACTCCAAAATCACCTGGAGTGTAGGAACTGAAGAACTCCTTTTTAGACGTAACATGAAGTGAGGCGCCAGTGTCTACTACCCAATCAGTGTCATGAGATGAAAAATTGATCACATCATCATGAACAATAACAAGATCTCCCGGAGTGGCAGCAGCAACGCGGTCACCATTGTTGTCATTTTTCACATCAGAATTGTTGCCATTTTTCTTGTCCTTCTTTAGTTTAAAGCAATGCTTCTTGATATGACCTTTCTTGCCACAGTAATGACATTCCATATCCTTAAACCGGGACCTGGACTTACTTCTGCTTTTGCCTCTATAACCCTGAAACTTGTTTTGGTTTCTCCCCCTGTCTTCAGTAACAAAAACTTCTGACTGGGATGAGTTTGTACCCGGAGTCCTTCTTCTAACCTCCTCATTTAAAATGCCATCTCTAGCATACCCTAAAGACATAGAACCAGCAGGAGCATTGTTAGTAAAAGAAGTCCAGAAAGTTTCCCAAGAATCGGGTAAACTGTTAAGCAACCAAAGTCCCAATATTTCCTCTTCAAATTTAATACCAACGTCAGTCATCTGATCAACTAGGCCTTGAAATTCATTAACATGATCCAAAACAGAAGTGCCCTCTTTATATCTCAAATTCATCATTTGCTTTAACAGAAACAATTTATTATTTCCTGTTTTAGCAGCATACATGTTTTCAAGGTTCGTCCACAAAGTTTTGGCATTTGTTTCCTTTGCTATATGATTTCTAACATTTTCTTCCACCCAACATCTGATATAACCACAGACTTGCTGATTTTCAAAACCCCAGACTTCATCAGATTTATTCTCAGGCTTAGTTCCGAATACAGGTAAATGGAGACTTAACATATAGCAAATCTTTCATTTTATCACTCCAGTTGTGATAATTTTTGCCATTCAAACAAATCATCCTACTAATATTCGGCTCCATATTTCAAACAAGCAGATAACACAGGAATAACTACAAGCTCTGATACCAATTTGTAGGGAAGAAAAACACTGCCTGTCAAAGTAATTCAACCACAAACCCAAAACAGTCCAAATATACTTGACAAGAATTCTCCCAAGCTTGCAAGAAAATCACAGGATCCCGATTTAAGAGCAGGTAGCAGTGAATGGCATCAAAAACATATATGGAGAAAGCTGTAAAATGAAATGAAACCAAGCACACACAGAACACCACGATTTTTTACGTGGAAAACCCCTCCAAATCGAAGAGGAAAAACCACGGGACCTCCGTCCACCCAAACACTTCACTAATCAACAAGGAATATGTACAAGAGAGTCTCCAAACATCAAAATATGATGATACAACAGCTCAAGAAGTATAAAACTTCAGCAAAGATACAAAGAGGATGAACAAGGATTGAAATCACCCTAAAAACTGCAGGTCTGTTCGGAGATGATTCCAGACGATCTGACCGTCAAAATCCAATCTCCACCGTTCAGAATTTAGGTCTGTGTCTTGGGAACCTCCAGTCAAAATTTCAGCATAATCTGACCACAGATGCCTTCCCAATCGCGATTTCTCTGAAGCTGGGCGAGCAGCAAATTTCTGCCCAGAAAATATTTCTCTCCTATATCTGTTATCTTTTTCTGTTAGCTGATCTCTTCCCTGACCACAGGCAGTATCTTCAGACCACACCCATTGACTAAGTGAAGAGTCAAAATGACTTAATGGGTCTCCAACAATTTGGGCTATAATCACATAGGAGGGAATAAATGAGATAGGCCCAACAACTAGTGCTATAATTGCAGGGGTTAAGGAGATGCCTGTGCAATTTGTGGTTGTGGGTTTGCAAGGAATCTTTCAAGATGAAGGCTTGATGATCCGTCCCCCTCGTGAGCCACCGCCGAGGATGATGTTTGAAGCAGGGTTTCGTTTGTTCTGTCAGTTTATTTTACTTGTTTTTGCTTTACTCTTTTTGAGGTTCTTAGGCATGAATGTTGTCGTTGTTGTTTTCTGTATTGTTTATTTCCGCCAGACTCTTACATTAGGTGGGGGTGATGAGGGTTTTGCTCTGGCCACGTTTGGCTCATGTAGACCCATTACAGGACAAGTGAATCATATTGCTCTATACAGGGTGATTGGTTCTCCAGCTGGTCTGAGGGTCGATAGCTAGAAGTTTTTTCCTTTATCGTTTGTATCCTTTGCTGAATGTTTTATTATCAATATAAGCCCCCTTGTTACAAAAAAAACACTGTTTTTTTTTTTTTTTGCCTTTTATAAGCTTGTTTATTTTTTTCCAATCAAATTTATTATTCAAATACTCCGTACTTAATTTTTCCTTTCCAAATTTTGCTACAGGAGCATAGTTGGAGTGTTACAATCCACTAGGGAATGCACAAGCTAAAGTTCTTGGAATGGTTGCAAAATAGAGCTGGATGGCAGTCATAAATTTTACTGCTAGCTGATTTTTCCTCCACCGTCAATAATAAGATTCATTTTTGGTTTTTGAGTTCCTTTAAGCGGATTTGGAAGTTTATGCTAGCTGCAAAGTTAGTTTGAATTTCTAATAAGTGAACTAGAATGCTGCTAATATGCTTGTTTTTTTTTTGTTTTGGAAGTGTCAATAAAATAGACAATGTTGTTTTATATTTTGAATAATGGCAGTTTTCATGACATTGCCATAATTCCGACCATGACAATGTCAATGGAATAGACAATGTCAAATTCTTGCTAATGACAATGTTTATAAATTGTGTTAACATTGTCACATTTTTTTTCATTTTTGACTTTTTTATAGAAACTTTTTTCTAACTTTATGTTTTATTTTTTATTCAAACAATGGTATCATTACATTGTCATATATGACATTATTTATTATAATTTCATATAATGTCATTCTATATTACAATGTCATATATGACATTGCATTATTATAGTATGACATCGACATAGTGTGTCATTTTTATAGCGTTGGCAATGCCATCAGCATGACATTGATTTATACAATGTTATGAAAATATCACAATTTTATATGAAGTAAGACATTAGTGATTATACTATTTCTCCATGGCAATGTCATTAGCATTATTATGCACCATTGATATTGTTATGACATTGTCATTCCTACACCATTAATATTATTATATATGATAATCAATGATATTGTTATGTCATTTACATTGTCATTGCAATGTCAATAATAATGTTAATGACATTATCAATAACAACATAGCATTGTGACATTTGAATACAAAATGAAACATTTTTGTGACATTTTCTTATTACGTCATTTATTATAAATACTTAAAATTGTGATAACTTTTTGATAACGTTGTCACACACTTTTGAAATATTGTGACATCGCTAGCACATGGTCGCCGCTAATGAATTTCTAGGCCCCTATTCCAAATTCAAAATCGAGGCACCATAAATGAATAAAAAAAATTGCATATTACGTATAATAACAAACTCACATAGTTCAATAAAATCAATTGTGTTCAAGTGCTCATATCGAAAACGACAAAAATTTAAATAACTACATATTAATATTGTCACTATTTTTAGCTTTGTGAAGCTTTCGGCTACATTGACCAATTGTGTCATTTATGACATCAACCCATTTTTCCGACATTGTGTATATTCCCAATATTTTGACAATGTGGTATAACACATGACATTTTTAAATATTATGACATTAATTTTACAAAATGTGACATTGTTTGTACAATTATCACAATTGTTTAATTTCCACAATGATATTATTCACTAGCAGCAACATATTACAAAGATAAATGTCTAAAATGAATCAAACAAATACGGAGTGATAATTTAAAGATTAATATACAAATTAAACAAAGCAACAATCCGAAAAGTTTTTTTTTTTGGAAAAACCATAAACTGATTTTTTTGAAATATACTGAAAAGTTAACAATTTGAAAAGGAAATTAGATAAAATAAAAAGAAGAAGAAACAAAAGTACTCCGTAAAAGGAATGAACAGGGGGAAAGGTAAGGTAGGCCTAAGATAGTATACACACACAAATGTTCATGTCCGGAATTCCGGACGGCGGCGTTTGGCCGCCTTCCCGGTGGCATTGTTTGATGAAATTTTTATGGCATGTTCTCCATCAAGTCTAGTTTATCCACACAAAAATTCAGCCAAACACTCAATCGGGAAGGTCGTCAAATGATTTTTGCAAGTTAACTGGTCCGGAATATGTATTTTCCGGACCAGTTAACTTGCAAAAATCATTTGACGACCTTCCCGAATGAGTTTTTGCCTGAAATTTTTTGTGGATAAACTAGACTTGATGGAGAACATGTGATAAAAGTTCATCGAAAAATTCCACCCGGAAGGCGGCCAAACGCCGCCGTCCGGGCGGCGGTTCCGGTCAGGAATTCTTGACCGGAAGAGTACTCTATATATATATATATATATATAGAGTACTCTTCCGGTCAGGAATTCCTGACCGGAATCGCCGTCCGGACGGCGGCGTTTGGACGCCTTCCGGGTGGAATTTTTCGATGAAATTTTTATGACATGTTCTTCATCAAGTCTAGTTTATCCACAAAAAAATTCAGCCAAAAACTCATTCGGGAAGGTCGTCAAATGATTTTTTCAAGTTAACTGGTCCGGAAAATACATATTCCGGACGAGTTAACTTGCAAAAATCATTTGACGACCTTCCCGATTGAGTTTTTGGCTGAATTTTTTTGTGGATAAACTAGACTTGATGAAGAACATTCCATAAAAATTTCATCAAAAAATATCACCGGGAAGGCGGCCAAACGCCGCCGTCCGGACGGCGGTTCCTGTCCGGAATTCCGGACATGAATAAAATTCTATATATATATATATATATATATATATATATATATATATATATATATATATATATATATATATATATATATATATATATATAGAATTTGGATCAAATAAAAAAAAGTCTTAACGTGTAAAATGAGAATTAAAAAGTTTTTATTTGATGCACTTTTCGAAAAGTGCATCAAATAAATCCTATTTGAAAGTACAGGTTATTGTGCGGCAGATCGACACTTTGGACGGGTGAGATTAATTCTCATTTTACACGTTTAGATGTCTTCTCATTTGAACTCATCCCTTTAAAGACATAGTGATTTATATGTGACTAAAATGAAAATAATGGACAAATTAAATTTTGATTTGGTGTACTATGTATGTAAATATGTAATTAAAAAGAGTACGTACGTACTATATACTACTCCATACTACTCGTATTATACTAGAAACTTTTAATATCCATGATTATGTTCAATTTTACACGTACGTACAAATCATGGTTTTTACTCATAATATATATATATATATGTATATATATATATATATAGAGTGCTCTTCATGTCAGGCCGGCCTGACGGGCTGCCCCGTCCGGCCGAGCCCATTTGGGCACCTTCCCGGTGGAATTTTTTGATGAAATTTTTTGAGCATGTTCCTCGTCAAGTCTAGTTTGTCCATACCAAATTTCAGCTCAAAATTCGATTGGGAAGGTCGTAAAATGATTTTTGGAAGTTAACTGGTCCGGAATATGTATTTTCCGGACCAGTTAACTTTCAAAAATCATTTGACGACCTTCCCGATCGAATTTTGAGCTGAAATTTGGTATGGACAAACTAGACTTGACGAGGAACATGCTCAAAAAATTTCTTAAAAAACTTCCACCGGGAAGGTGCCCAAACGGGCTCGGCCGGACGGGGCAGCCCGTCAGGCCGGCCTGACATGAACATTCCTCTATATATATATATATATATATATATATATATATATATATATATATATATATGTATATAGATTTTGGTTCAAATGAGAACGAGTCTTAACGTGAGAACGTGAGAACAAATCACAACCATTCATTTTCAAGAACCGATCTGCGCTCCACATAGTTAAGTGAAGGGTATTTAGGTATTCTCTTCCTAAGCTTATTTCGTAACCGACTAATGGCATTTATTACATTCAACAAGTCCACTATTGCAAACATTAGATTGTACGTAGTATATAATATGAAATTTGGTTAGAGAATTTTTTGCATGCTTTTGTTAAATAAGGTACTCACGTAATTGAACTTTCCTTTTATGAAAAAAGAAACAAAATATCATTCCCTTTTTATTCAAGTATCCATTCACTCACCCATTACCATAATTATTAATCACCATATAATCATAGATATATTTTCTACACATATTTTCGTTATTATGTGATATACAAAATGTGAGTTAGATACAAGTTCATGTGCATTACATAAATAGGTTGTGTGTCAGATATTAGTTCATGTGTATTACATATTTGGGATTGTGTGTTAGATACCGATTCTTGTGAATGACATATTTGTTGTGACTCTCTATGTTCATACTATGTGCTAGATACGAGTTCTATAACGTATATACATATTGTGCCTTAGATACTAGTTCATGTGTACTATATGAAGTCTTTGTGGGTTACATATTAGATCTTAATTGTTATGCGTTAGATACTCTTTTTTGTGATTGAGATAATTGTTATAGTGCTTTATATGAAAATTATGTGTAAAATACTACATCTCATGTGCATTAAATATTGGATTTTGTGCTTAAGATACTTATTATAGTGTTTTGTTATACATATTGTGCACTAGAGACTTGTACTTGTGCATTTG